ACACACACACACACACACACACACACACACACACACACACACACACAGCTACAGAGATTTTTTTTTTTGGAAGACATAAACAATACCAGCCAGCACTTGTACTTCTGAAAACATAAATACATACATAGCCATATATATATGCACACATACGTAGGGGAGGCGTTCACAACACAGCATATATCTTATCTCTGTCTCACGAGAGGACCTATAGTGAATGATGTGCTGGTAGCAAGGAGCACATCTAGCACCCAGTATTGGTGCCATACTGAAGAACTCCTGATGGCCACAGGTAAAACAACTTGAGCCTCAGAATAAACAATGACTCTAAGAGTATAACTTTTGTGCAAAATAGGAATCCTTGAAAGAAAGCAAGGTTACCCTACAGAAAGAAAGACATGTAAAGGGCATGTGCAATAAGACAAGGATGGTGGTACTCAGCCTGTGATCTCAGTGTCTCAAGAGTAGAAGTAGGCAGATGAGAAATTCAAGGCCAGCTTCAGTTACATACTGAGTTTGCAGCCAGTCTGGTAAGGACCTGTCTAAACAGCAATAAATAGATAAACTTGCACAAACCCAAGCAACATAAGTGGCCTCCAGAAGCTAGAAACTACAAAAACACACATTTTCCCCTAGAGCCAAAGGAAAAGAATGCAGCCTCTGTTAAGATGTTTATTTATTAAAATATTTCATTTATTAATTTGGTGCACCATGGTACACAAAATGCAGGTCAGAGGACACTCTTTGGGAGTCCACTTTCTCCTTCCACCATGTGGGACCAGAGGATCAAACTCAAGTCATTATGCTTAGAGGAAGAACCTCAACCTACTGAACCATCTTCTCAGCCTGGTCTCCTAATCCTAGCGTAATGTCACTCTAACGGAAGTGCAAAAGTATTCATTTGTATGTTTGTTTTATAGCACAGGCTGGCCTTCGATTTGTTATATAACTAAGGATAGGGTTACACTCTTGTTCCTCCTGCCTCAACACCCCAAGTACTAGGATTACAGAAATGCACACAAGTGCCACCTTGGTCAGCCTCAAACAACAATCCCCTCCACCCACCAGACAGGGTCTCTGTGTAGCCCTGGCTGTCCTTGAACTCACTCTGTAGACTAGGCTGTCCTGAACTCACATGATCGGCCTGCCTCTGCCTCCCGAGTGCTGGGATTAAAGGCATGTGCCAACACAGCCAGCCTTCAAACAGCAATTTTTAAGATCAAAAATTCTAGTATAATATACTCTGATGCTGTAAGATTTAGATACTTATATGCTAAGGAATCACAGCAGGAAAGTACTAGAAGTCTCCGTTTTCCATGATTAAACCATTAGGCTTCTCTAAGAGCAGAACACTCTGTATGCGTAATAAAAACGCAATGCAAAACAAAACACACCACAGTCTCAAACGCAAGTGGAGCTGTCGCAGACAGAAGTTGGTGCTGTGTACTGTGATGGCAATGTACAAGGTCAAGTGCACCCACTGGGGCTCAGAACCAAGGCTGCAGTGAAGTCGTGAACTGTAGCTCAGGCAAGAGATATGGGAGACACTCAGGCTCACGACTTGTTTGCTTCTGAATTTTCTTTCTAGTAGCTGGGCAATCGGAAATCTTTTGCTTGTTGCTAACTTTTCAAGGCTCACACTGTGAACATAGGCAGCACTGTCTAGCCCACTGCTCCCACTCACTGAACTCAGCAAGATGTTGAGAAAGAATACAGCAAGGGTAACTCTAGACCACCTGGCTCCAGGCCCTTACCGGTAGATGGTGAGATGGGGAGAAAGAGGACGGTTTGAATTCAGGTTCTTATTCCAGAACCGCTCCATCTCTTCCTTGGCTGTGGTTCCTAAAGGCACAGCACTGAAATAAAACAAGAGGTTCAATAAGGCCTAAAGAACATATTTTACATAGCAAAAAGTATATTCTTAAAGTTTTATTTTCTTTTGAGCTGTGTGTGAGAGAGACAGAGTGTGTGTGTGTGTGTGTGTGTGTGTGTGTGTGTGTGTGTGTGTGTAGTACAGATGACTAAGGCCTCCGCAGGGTGTTGGACCCCACAGAGCTGGAATTATAGGCAAGGATGCTAGGAACTAATTTGGGTCCTCTGCAAGAACAGTATATGCTCTTAAGTTGTGCCATCTCTAGCCCCTGTCTTTTTTTAAAAAGGTACGGTTGGAACAGCAAGACTGCGCAGTGGGTGGAGGTGCTTGCTGACAAACCTGGTGGCCTGAACTTGGTCTCCCTGGACATGTGTGGGAGAAGAAAACTGATTCCCACAAGATGTCTTCTTATCTCCACCTGCATACCCACGAGCCCCACCAAACACACATGAATGAATTACATATATATACATACTATACATACGTGTGTGTGTGTACACACACACACACACACACACACACACACATATAAAAGGGCTGCAGAAATGGCTCAGAAGTTAGGAGCAGAGGCTGTTCTTTCAGAAGACCTGAATTTCATTTTCAGCACCCACAGGGTGTCACAACAGTAATTCCACTCCCCAGGAATGACTGAATGACTGTGGTACACAGACAAACATGCAGACAGAACAAAGAACAGAAAGATAAGGTGTCACATACCAGCAGAGGCAAGAAGTTTGGGAGTTCAAGGCTAGCCTGGACCACACAGTAAGTACAGGGCCAGCCTAGACTACACAGAGAAACTGACTCAAAAAAGCAAAAGAGTTCATGATGGCACAGACCTATAATCCTAATACTTGGTTGGTAGAAGCAGAAGGATCAGGAATTCTGTATCATTCTTATCTACGTAGCAAGCTCAAAGATAGCCTGAGCTGTCTTAAAATAAAACACAACAAAACAAAATAAAACTCAATCCTAAAAAAATAAAAACAAGAACAAAACATGAGAGCTAAGTACATTTACGAGCCTAACTAGGTTCTGCAGGGGGGAAAAAAAAAAGGTTGTTGTTCTATAGAGTACATTATTTGAGACAAAGAGAAAATCTGAAAATTAGCTGGTATCAGATATGAATTCATTAGTTAATTTCTTAAATGTAATGATTATGCTTGGATAATTGCACCTACCATTACATAAGCAAACAAAAATGTTAGTAACTGATGGATGTGGATGAAATGTGCATTGGCCCTGTCATGGCAGGTATGGCAGGGAGTGTTCCTAATGGCGGCACCACAGAGGCTCACACAGAAGGCTCACTTTAGACCAACATTATGTTGTGCAACACTGCAAGGCTCATCTCAAAAACAAACAAACAAACAACAACGAAGCCAACATAAAAAAAAAAAAGATGAACTGTTCTGAAAGTATAAGGTGGATGATATTGCTAAGGTAAAACCTTTTAAAAAATTGTTGAAGGCAATTGTTGACAACAAATAGAAATAAATATTTATCAGGGAAAAAATATATTTAAAAATCAAGTCCTGAAACTACTTGATATTAAAGGCTCTTTTGTTTGACACAGGGTCTCACTGTATAGCCCGGGCTGTTCTAGAACTCACTCTGTAGACCAGGCTGGCCTCAAACTCCCAGAGATCTGCCTACCGCCTCCTGACAGCAGGGACTAAAGGCATGTGCAACCACAAAAGCCTTCTACTGCCCTTTCATGAGGAAAAAAAAGTTAATAAAATATTCACAGAATTTGGAACTTACTTTCTGATATAAAGCTGAGAATTAAGGTGGGCTCGGAAGCAGTGACGGCCAACGTGTCTGCAAGAAATTCAAGAATACAAATTTAGAAACTACTACCAGCATATCAACTTCTCCACCTTTGTACTATATTATTAGTTATTATTATCATTATTATTCTATGATATAGGATTTCTTTGTGTGTGTAGCTCTGACTGGCCTCAAACTTTGAGTTCTACCTGATTCTGTGTGCTCAGTGCAGGCATTAAAGGCATGAGCCACCATGCCCAGCTCCTTTGTATTATATTAGATGTGGAAAGACTGACTGAAAAGACAGTTGAGGGTATAACTCAGTATAGAATGTATGCTTAACATGCATGGGATCCTGGGTTTAATCTCCAGCATTGCAAAAACAAAAAAAGCCAGAATAAGTAATTGGCAATGAAAAACACATAGTTTATATATAGCAGAGACCTGCTCCAAATGAATGAATTAAAACTTGAAGAACAAGCTGGGCATGGTGGTGAACGCCTGTAATCCCAGCACTCCAGGAGGCAGAGGCAGGTGGATTGCTGTGAGTTCGAGGCCAGCCTGGTCTACAAAGCAAGTTCAGGACAGCCAAGGCTACACAGAGAAACTCTTTTCTGGACTCTGAAGGTGCTAGGCATGCTACATGGACATATATGCGGGCAAAACCCATGCACATAAAAAATTTTTTTAAAATAATTTTTAAATTTTTATATTACATTTTATTTATTTGTGTGTGACTACATGCCACAACATACATGTGGGGATCAGATAACAACTTGCAAGGAGTTGGTTCTGTGTCCACCATATATCCTGGAGATTAAACTTAGGGAATCAGGTTTGCAAACCTGTAACCCCAATACTCAGGAGGCAAGACACAGGAAGACTGCTGTAAATTCAAGGTCAGCCTGTCTAAACAAGCAATTTCCAGGCCAGCCAGCTATATTAAGACCTTGTCCAAAAAGCCAAAAAGGAAAAAAAAAAAAAACAAAACAAAACTCAACAACACTCTTTAATCTCATAATTCCAACCAACACTTCCAAAACATTGAAGATGAGCACAGTGAAGTTCTGGAAATGAAAACGTTTACCTATACCAATATTTAACTAATTATTCACTATGTGTAAGGCATTGTGGAGAGTTAAGAGCTCATTAAGATCCAACAATCTGAGCCTAGCCACACACCTTTAATCCCAGCGCTTGGAAGGTAGAGGCAGGTGGATCTCTGGGTTCAAGGCTGGCCAACCAAGGGTTACACAGAGAAACCCTGTCTCAAAAAGCAAAACAAAAAAGATCCAACAATCTTGTAAATGGGTTCACGACGCACATCACTGATACCAGATGCACAAACATTTCAAGAGCCTTGCACTCTGTAACAGAGCACTAGAAGGCCCATTATTTGAAGGGAGAGAAATCCAACCACCCCTTCTTCAGTTCTCTCCCTTCCCTCTGGAGGCAAGAGGTGAATGCAGCATTGTGCACCAGGGCTCTCAGAAAGAAGTGGGAACAAATCTCTAAATCAACTGAATTGTCTGTGCAGTTGCAGGGCGCACATTCCTCACACCAAGCTAGGCCCAGCCACTCAGCTACACAGCAAGAGTTTGCAGATGTGGGTTGGAATCTACCGCATGTTCTGTCTAGTGCTATTGTTTCCCAAATACCAATGAGCGCTTTACACAAGGCCCCCACAGAAAAGGGCTGTGCAAACTTGATAACCTTAGTTGAAATACAAAAGTCTGTATCTATCCTTGTCTTTCATGTGAAACCAGAAACTTTGAAAAGACTTTCCACACTGGGAATGGATCGTAAAACGTTAACAGCTAGGAGCTAGTGGGATGGCTTGGAGTAAAGGCACTAGCCACCATGGCTGGTGATGAGTTGGACCCTTAGGATTCACAATTGTCCTCTGACCTCTACACACAAGCCATAGGACATGTGCACCCATGCACACCCACAATAAAATGAAAAAAAAAAAAATTATAAAAGGTTGTGTCTAGAAGCAAGCATTTTGTTTTGAGGCAGGACCTCACCCTGAGGCCCAGCCAGAAACTCACCATATAGCTCAGGCTGGCTTCACTCTTACAGCAACCCCCTTATCTTAGTCTAAGTGCTGAGACTACTGGTGTGACCCTTCACAAGCAGTTGATTAAGTCACATGTGTAGAATGGTGTGGCATATGGGCCCTGCGCAGATTCTCCTGTACCTACAATGCTTTCTGTGTTACTGATAGTGCCCAATATAATTTAAATGTTCCGTATATGTTATACCATGTGGTATAAGGGAATAGGGGTGGAGCTACCTCTACAGAGTCCAAATACAACCAAATGGGGAAAACTTACCTATAGATACAACCAACCATATGCCTACATGGAAACAAGACGTGAAGCAAACCATTCAGAGTAAGTGCGGGGACGAGAGTGTATATCTGAACGACAGAAGGCGACCACAGGGTAAACCTACAGTTTCACTCACAAGACTCAGTGCTTGGCAGGTAACAAACTCAAACTGCTCTCTGTAATTTTTTTTTTTTTCAAATATTTTCAGTCTCAGACAGGCTGAATTCAAGGAAGAACCCAAAGATGAAGACTCTAAACACTAACCCTGAAACTCCAAAAATAAATGTTTGGAACCAATATGACCATCTCAAACTGAATGTTAATTCATCAGCATGTGTTACATCAAAGAATTTGAAAGCATTCAACCATGGTCAAATAATTAGGAATGAAGGATGCAGCTCTGGAAAACCTGGTCCTGTCCTATCCCAGAGCAAAGGCGCCTATTAAGATGCACAGCAAGATGAAGGATAAAGATAACTGACCCCAACTCCCCAAGACTCAATTTTACTAAAACAGAATCCCTCTATTTTTATACTGCATGACTGAAGTAGAAAGAGAAATGAAAACACATTTAGGAGAATCAGGGACTGGAATCTCAACAGCACCAGAGCTAACTTTCCATAACAAATAATTTCCAAAAATAGGACAGACACAGTTTCCAAAAACTGTGTTGGGATTTGTACCAGAAATGTCACTAGCCCTTACAATTGTAAAGACTCTGGCAATGATACCTAAAGAGGGAAGAATTCTGAACAAAAGAAAATCTAGGCTAATTCTCTGGACAATAATCTGACTTTCAGAGAAAGGCGGGAATTGTCCGCCCCATCGCTCCTCGAAACTAAAATTAAGGCAAAAGAAAGAGGATTTCCTGGGACGCAGCAGAGACCCACTCGGGCTGCTACTGATAACCCTGGCATGGGAGGGACTCATTCGGAGGCCCGACAGTGCCCGCGGGTTGCCAAGCAGCAGAAGTGCCAGGAGTTAGGAGGACACACTAGGTCCTAGCTCCAGGGAGCCCCTCCCTCTACGGTCCCTAAATTCCCCCCAAACTGCAGGCCTAGGGGCCAGCCGATCTCGAAGTTAAGAGGAGTTTTTCGAGGCTCGGACCCGGGGGGGGGCCACAAGAGCAATTTGGGAAGAAGACTTAGGCGCGGGCGAAGCAGAAGGAGCGACGGCCGCGCCACTCGGCCACACGGAGTGACCTCTAAGCCCTTCCGCGGGAGGCGGGGGGAGCGTGCCCTAAGATTCCAGGGGCTCGGCCGAAACACCCACGGGTCCTTTCCCTGTCCCCGCACGGCACAGGCCGCTGTCACCCCGTGAGGGACTAGCTCGGGTTCTCCGACGGTCGCGGGCACAGACTCCCAGCCCCAGGCTAAAGTCACCTCAGCAACACCGCAGCCATCTTGAGTTCCGGCCTGGACGGAAGTGACGTCGCGCCCCGCGCCCCGCCTCCCTCCAGCGGCGGAGTGGTCAGGGGCTGTCATGTGACACTGTAGAATTTCGGGGCTAGACGCTCCTCTGGGTTCTGCAGTAACGGCTCTTTGTAGGTGGCGGTTTTTTGCGGTTCTTTCGTTTTTTGTTTTTTGTTTTTGTTTTTGTTTTGCGGTTCTTTGGTGTTCCTCTCTCACGCTAGTCTCTACAAAATCGCCGAGTGGTTCAAGTTAGTGCATTTACCTACCTGAGTGTTCATTTTGTACGGCTCGCTCTACCAGACAGCGGCTTCGCCCGAGAATTTCGGCGGTTCACTTCAACCGCCTCCTATCAAATTGTCCTAAAGATTTCCGAGTTCGCTGGCTGAGATGTTTCAAAAGTATAGGTTTTAGTAGACGTATAGGTTACAAAGTTAGTCTGATCCTTTCAGAGACACCCTAGGAAAAAAACCACATCGGGCTTCCTCTAGCTCTTAAGTGCCTCCTCACACTCCTTCAGCCCTAAGGAGGTGTTAGGCAAGCACTCTGCCTTTAAGCCATATCCCCAGCGAGATAATCACATTGAACCCCGATCTGGGTAGTAGAGAGTGTGGGGCGGGGCTGTCTGAGGGCCTTTCACAATCATTTTCAAGATTGGGATTTTCTCTAACCACCTCCATTAGGCCTGGCAATTCCAGAGCCTGAGCTGCAGCATGAACCAAACTCCCACTGGCCAAAGACAACGCTCCCTTGTTTCTTTTTCAGCGATATGTGGGTGACACCCACAGCCACAAGAACCTAGGGGTGTGGAGGAGAACCCGCTTTGATTTATATATACTGTATATAAATGGTTTTGAGGAATCCAAGTACAGAAATCTGTTGCAGTGTGCTCTCAACTGAGGAAAGAAAGTGAGCAAGTGAGAGAGGAATGAAACAGAATGCCAAAGTTCCTGACCCTGGGCCCTGGGGGGAGGCAGAGGGAGAAAGAATAAAGAGGGCAGCCTAGAGCAACTTATTCTGTAGCAAGTCTCTTTCGGTTGTATTAATATTCAGATCCCATTTATATTTAGCACTCTAGCACTCTCCTGCCTTTCTCCTTTCAGGATTTAAATAGCACAAATTCGCTTTTTCCCCCTGCATCGAATGAATAATATTATTTTGCACTTCTGTAATGTTAGACAAAGAAAGCACTTTCATAGACTTTAAGGACTGGAAGGGACCTTAGGGGTTCTCACATCCAAGTCTCCATTCAGTGCAAAGCGTCTCCTTTGCAACATTTCTTAATCTTCAAGATGGGTCTTCAAACGATGCAAAAATAAGTTTCATGCTGGGAGCAATGGTGGTGGCTGTAGTCCTGGCACTTAGGAGGCTGAAATAAGAGGATTGTGAGTTTGAAGCCACCCTCCAGAGACAGGGATAACAAAACAAAACAACAACAAAAACTGCTTTTGAAAGTTTAGTAAACAGGTTAGTCAATAGAAAATTGAACTTACTAGAACAAGTTTCTGCTATTCAACCCCCAGGCATTGCTGTAACCCTCTCAGGCTTGATGACACACCTGCAGTCCTAGTACTTAGGAAGTAGAGGCAGAAGGATCAGGTGTTCAAGGTCATCCTCAGCAACATATTGAGTTCCAAGTAATCTGGGCTACACAGACTGTATCTCAAAAACAAAAATAAGAATAAAATTCGATGAATGCCTCTTTAACTTTGCTTTTTTTCCCTTAATGTATATGGTGTTCCTCTTGCTTGTATGTCTGTGCACCCCCAGCTCCCCCTGGAACTGGAGTTACAGACCCTGTGAGCTGCCATGTGGCCGCCGGGAATCAATCCCCATCCTCTAGAAGAGCTGTAAGTCTTTCTAACTGCAGAGCCATCTCTCCAGCCCCATCACTTAGGTCTTTAATAATTTTGTTTAACATATATGTACTGTTGACTTTCAATCTATGAAAGTCCTATAGGAGATTCGAAGATAGAAGAATACTTTAACCTGTCCACCCCCCCCCCAAAAAAAACCTACAGCTTTAGCAAGGTCAGTAAAGAAACAAATATAAAAAGTAGTAAGCCTGGGGATGTAGCTCAGTTGGTAGAGTCCTTGCCTAGTATGCATGAGCCCTGGGTTCTACCCCCAGATCTACCTAAAACCACACACAGCAGTGCACACCTGTAATCCCAGATCTCAGGACCTATAAATACAAGGATCAGACGTAGAAGGTCATCCCTGCCTACAGAGCAAGTTGGAGGCTAGCCAGGAATGAGAAGAGGGGGTGGAGGAAGGAGGAAGGGAAAGAAAATATGCACGCCTACAAACAAAAAATATAGATAAGAGTGATGGATAGATAAGGAGAAAGAAGAAGCTAAAGTGGGAATATTGGTTACAATGTCCTATAAACATTTGCTCATGATGACTTTGTCCATGGAGTTTATAATCAAGCGTCTACTTAGTATTCCATGATCAAAACCTCGTGTTAACCACAAAGCCCACAAGAAGTGTGATCTGAGATGCGTGGAAGGTATGAAGAGACTGTTGGCTTCACACAGAGAATGCATGTGCCTATAATGTCCCGTTAGCAAGACTAAGCTGGGAATGGTAGTGGAAGTCATGTACTTCCAGCGCCCAGAAGGCAGAAACCAAATCACCACAAGCTCCAGGACTGTCTGATCAAAATAGTGAGCTCAGGTCATCCAGGAATATAACATACAAATAATGTAGAGCCTGTCTTAAGCAAACTCAGCTTCCATAGCCTACACTATAGCTGATGGAAATAAATCACACTGAAATCCAGACTGTGGGGCTCAGGGGCCAAGAGTGCTTGCTGTTCTTGCAGAGGACCCAGGTTAAGTTTCCAGCACCAACGTGGCAGCTCACAACTCTATATAACTCCATTTCCAGGGTATTGAACACACATTTATACACATGCAGGCAAAACAGTAGAACACATAAAGCAAAATAAATAAATGTAAAAAGAAAAGAAATTCAGATTTCAAACATTAAGCTGAACTCTTTTTTGTTGTTGTTTTTGTTTGAAACGGGCTCTCTCTCTATAGCCCTGGCTGTCTTGGAACTCACTAAGTAGGCAAAGATAGGCACAAACTCACACAGACATGCCTGCCTCTGAGTGCTGCAGTTAAAGGAGTACGCCACCACACCCCATAAGCCAAACTTTTTTTCAATACAGTTTCTTTAAATAAGCAGTGTAGATCAAGGTCTGTGATCCAAAGTAAGAGAAATGGGGGGGGGGGTGAGAGGGTGGCATTTTCGACGAAAAGCATAATCAGATGACCCTAAGGAGGCAAGAAAAAGGACCAGCCCGCTGAATATCTCCAAAAGATTATGTTTGCCAGATTTGTCTTAAACTCAGCTCAACTGCATAATTTGTGGTAATGGGAGAGGAAAAAAAAAACAAAACAAAACAAAACAAAAATCAGCTCTGGGGCTTGGAGAGAGCTCAGAAGCTAAGAGCACTCGCTGTTCCTCTGGAAGACCTGAGTTCAGTTCCTAACATTCACATGGTGGTTCACAACCATCGCAGTTCCAGGAGATGCCCTCTTCTGGCTTTTACAGTTGCCAGGCACACACATACATGTGGGCATGCACTTACACATGTACCAATAAATAAATTGTAAAAAACAAAATGAAAGAAACCCTCAACTCTGGTCATGTAGATGTTTGGAAGATCTACATGAGATTGTCTCTGATAGCCCAGGTTGGCTTTGAACTCCTGATCCTCCTGCTTCCACCTCCCAAGCACTAGGAAGCTAGGCATAAAGCACAGCTGACTTTCCATCTCTAATTCTACCCCTCAGTTCTTCTGGAGATGCTTACAGTGTACTAGATTAAACTTGGCATCTTTGGTCTGTCATTTGAGACCTTCAGCCTTCCTGCCCAGACTTGTTTCTTACTGTGCCCTTTCACGGTCCCCCACACCCAATCAAACATGGACTACATTATCTGTTCTACATATACCCAGCACTTCACAAATACCTCTCTCTCGCTCTCTCTTTTACTTTCACCTCTGCTCTTACCTTTGCTGTTCCATCTAGCCATCATCCCCTCCACTCCCTTTTTTAAAATGGCACTTATCTTTCAAGGTCCCTATATAACATTGCTTCTTACACCTGACTACTCTTTCCTTTGAACTTCACATATTAAGTTGATATTCCCAGCGTTCTGTTCATTGGCTGTTGATGAGTTTGCCTTCTGGTTCTCCCCTCTGCCTCCTCAAACTAGATCTTGAGCTTGCAGGAAGAACTGAATCATCATTCTCATACGGCCACTGTCATAGTTCCCAAATAGACAACAGGCCGGGCAATATGCGGTCTTGATCATCTAAACTGCAGCCTAGCATAAGGCACTGAGGGTTTCCTAACAAAAGAGGAAAAATCTGAGCGTCTTCCTGGAAGTGCCCCGGCAGGGAAAAGCTTCTATCTGGATAGAATCTTCCAGGATGCAGGGAGATGGAAAAAGTTGTTCCCCGAGGACCTTGTCCTCTCTAGCAGTTTACAGTGTTGCCATAGCAATCGGAACACCCTAATTTGGGAGTGCTCAGGAAAAAAAAAAAAAAAAAATCTTGTCTCTAGGTTCTAGGGCTCTCAGGCAAGAAGGCTAAGAAGAAATCCTTTGCCATCGCCTTTTGGATTTAAGTTTCTCAGCTTATCTATTCCTCAGAGAAAGTGTGTCTAAGTCTGTTTTTCTGTCCCTGTCCCTCACCCCCCAACATTCCAGCCTAGGATAAGGGGAGGTCGGGATACACAAAGCTCTCTGTGTAATGGGTGGTATGTGTGCCCCAACCCCTCCACCCAGAGTATACAATGCCCCTTCTGCTCCATGCCCTCTGTCACCCTCCCCACCACCTCCCAACTGCACATGCCAAGCTGCAATTGGTCATCGGCTCAGGACAGCCCCCTCATGCTGGTGATCCAGGGCATTTTAAGCAGGTTCCAGAAAACACCGCTCAGTTCCTTGTCCCCCACTCTCTCCACCCCACAGATGCTCTGGGCCCTAGCCCCTACCCCAGCTATGGCTCCCGG